GCTGGATTAATGGTTCCTTGGGGATATGGCAGGAGAGGTTGGGGGAAATAAAGAGCTAATAACAATGATTACAAGCATAAAGAAAATGTTCTAAAGTTATGTGGTGATGATTGCACAACTCTTCTTGATGTGATTCAACTATTGAATTGTATGATATGTATGATATATGCTAATAAAACTGTTGGGGGGAAAAATGAAAGCCAAACATATTAAAAATCAGAACAAATTTTAAGTGGGTCAAAAGAGAGAGCAAATGATAAGGTGTTGCATTTGAACCTAACTGCGTTTGCAACAATCCACTTTACAGTGCACCATCCGATAGTAAGCCTATTCACATCCCTGGTCTAGGTTCAGAGGGAATTCTGTCATCTATAGCCTTCTGAAAACCAAGTGTTCAGAATTTGGGTTCTAATACTGTTCCTTCCTCCCAGTGTAGATTTTATTATATACAGCCATTGGATCGCACAGGCTGGTTTGTTTTTTCCATGTGGAATTAACTAATGCTTCATTTAGATGACTGCTTATTCTAAGACAGGCTTTAAGATCCCAGACACGATTATTCCTCATAGCCAGGCACCCTTTGCTTTCTGCACCACACTTCACCACCCAGACCCTCAGTAATCTCTTCACGAGGGCAAGGATTAAACGGGGCCATGTCATAAGACCTCATTGTTCTTAGAGTCGGGCTACAATTAAGTGCAAACTCAAAATCTATTCAGGGTGTATCCTTTAGAAACATCATTATCATTTTATTTGATACTCTTATAAAGCATCCTCATGGGGGCATAAGGTAATTCTATTGATAGTATCATTGTTAGCCAATAGTATAGAATTGAGAAAAGTAAATTATTTATGAGTAGGAATTCCAGCACAATACATGAATTGTTGACTTGTATAGATTTAAAACGTAGATGACTGCACATTATTTACAGAAAAAATTAGGGTTGGAAATAAAGCAAAACTTTCAACAATGCCCATTCAAAAAGGCAGAACCATGCCTGTCAGAGTAACACATGTGATTTTAAAAAAATAAAAGCAAAAAGAATGAACAAAACACAAAAAAATAGTAAATATTTGCTCATCGCCAGCCATCCTCAAAGCAAGAGGTCAGAACCAAAGTCCAACGACCTCCAATTCCTTCCGTAAACTTGGGGTAGCAATCATCGGCTTCTTCTCGCACTCAGCCGTTTCAGCCTAACCAGGGAAGTATATCAGTTCCTTAAATCTGCTACACGTGAGTTTAAGGTAAAATCCAGTTTGCTTAGTGGGGTTTCCAAATCTAATCCATCTGTTGTGGCCTATCTAAAGGACAGAGTCTAGAAGTACCAGTCCTCTGTTGCCCGAAGCACAGGGCGTGAGTCACCAAGGGCTGGATAGAAACTAGGTCAAAAGTTTCCAATCAGCAACATAATGTCGAGCATATTCACTCCTTGAGTTCTATTTTAAGTAATGCTAAGGGTTTAATTTTTCCCAATGGCAGGTTGCCCCACCCAGTTTGCCCACCAACAGAAGTGTGACGCCTTCTCCTCCCACCTCTTGACTTGACTTTCCAGTAAGGTTCCCTGATCCCTTTTGTAGGGGTGTCCGGTGATCAGGAGTGACCCAAGAAAGATCTTGTTCATCAGACACTGGTTGGCCTTTTTCCTCTTTCTGCATCATAAGAAATGGTCCCCAGCGGAGGAGAGGGCTCCAGAGGATAGTCTTTCCATGCCCACAATATTCCCACATAGAGAACTTACAGAAACACGCAAAGCCAAGCCAGGTTAATGAAAACTCAGAAGGAACGTTAAACCAGCAGAAACATTTCAAAATCCAGTGCTTAGTATCTTCAGATATAACGTCAAGCCTAAATTCTCAACTTTGTCATTGTTTTTCACTTGTGCTGCTGAGAAATGGTTGGAGTGATCTAGTCGCAATCTTTTCCAACCTTACTTACGGCGATTGTACTTAATATGGTAGTTAACATTTACTGCAGCTGATTGTTATGTACTTGCTACGACAGGGCTTTGGGTCTCCTTAAGACTATTATTTTATTCGGAAATATTATTACTCATATAACATTTTGTGGTGATTCACCAGCATTTTTTCCATCTTATGAATAAAATCACCCTAAATTTGATCCCATGTAAGTTTAAGAACATTTCATTGTTTCTAGCTTTCTCTACTTTCCTCCTAAAGTTCACTTTCCTTCAAGCCTTTGCATCAGTTTCCCATCTTTCACATCTACTACCACCAGACATTTTGCCTTAAGACAGAGCTACCTTTTTTTTTTGCCTTCTTAAAAAAACAAAACACAAAAAAACTTACTGTTAGTCATTCTGATTTCTTTATATCTTTTCAGCCTAAGTTACTCTAAATTCTTTCACCTGGGCTCATCATCCCAATTGCTATATTTTACTAATTGAATGTGATCCCCATACATCTTGAAGCATGGAAGACATGCTAATTCAAAAAGGCATCAAGCTAAATCTTAATTAAGCCTGTAGGTAAATTGAGAGTTTCAAAAACAAAATGAGTTCGCAATTAAAATATTTAAAATTATATTATATAAAAGCATAAGTAAAAATTATAATCACAAGATATTAAATATCTATTATAGCAATCAGATAAAATAGTAAGAGAGTCATTGTTGATGTTTGAACAATCTCCTTGATGTCTTAATGATCCTTTGGGTGGACTAGTCTTAGATGGCCCTCTAGACCAAATAATTCATACTACTAATTAAATTTAGTTATATTAAATAATGAGTTCTTCAACCATTGTTCTTATGTATCTTCTATAGAACTCTTTAAAATTAGAAAAAATGAACACACTATTTAGCAGACCATAAATATTTTAATGTAAACATTCAATTACAAAAATATCTGCTAGCTCAAATTTAGTATCAAAAGATCACTTAAAATATCTTGAACTTACTTTTGTACTATAAGATACTACTAAAATACAGTTTAATTATTTGTAAGCTTTGCTTATTTTATCTGAATTTAGCTTTCCTAGATTCTTTACAATGTCTCCATTTTGACGTCAAGTAAATCTGGTTATTAAATTTATTCTGATTCACAGCAACCTCCTGGGAGAGAGCGGACACTTCTTCCCGGGTTTCTGAGATTGTAAAGCTCAAACAGAAGCGACTGGCTGAGCTGGTGGCCCGGGGGTTACGCACTGGGCTACCAACGGAAGGGTGGGTAGTTTGAAATCACCCGCTGCTCGGCAGGCAGGGGAAAGAGGACAGGGCTTTCTACTCCCCAAGCGGGACAGTCTCAGAAACTCACAGGGAAGTTCTGCCCTGTCCTACAGGGTCACTAGGAGTTCCCATAGGCTGGATGGCAGTGAGTTCTTCCTGTTGTTTTTTATTTTAATTTGGCTCACATCTCCACATTTTGGTTTAGCCACCCAGTACTTGACTTCCTGAGCCCCTTGGCCACTTCTACTTAGAATTAACTAAATCAAACCCTATTCATATGCATATCTGAACGAACTCAGGCTGAAAAAAAAAGTGTAAAAACCATCTATTGATTTTCCTCTCTAAAATATCCCTTCTTTTCCTTCTTTGGAAAAACCTTGAATATTTCATTCAAGTCACTTGTAAAAGTCTAGACTTACAGGTTGACTGACGTACACATACAAAAACCTGTCAAACAGAACTATTTTATTCATTCTCCATAATAAAACAATTTAATTTGCAAGCACAAATACATCATAAAATTAAAACTGAGTTCAAACAAAAGAACTGAAAGGGGAGAAAAGTGAACAATTCACTTCCCTTCTAGCCTGAATCTTGGTTGTAGAGCGTTATAAAAGCTTGTTCACAAATAATTTCATTTACTCAGTCTTCTGCAAAACAATTCGAGGTGTATGCTAGCGTCATACTTTACAAATCTGTCTGAAGGTGGTTTTGCTCTGCTGGAGTGCAGACTGCATATATCCATGTCGTATTAAATAGAACACTGTTCTCTTTTTAGTTATAGGGGCAAAATAGGCCCTTAAGTAGGACAACACAGGCAGGATTTCTGAACAGCTCTGTCTTCAAGAATGGAAGCTCTCGCTCCCATTATAACAGTAGTTGTTAACCAAAACAGACCAGATAGGGACACAAAACTGTAAAGCAACCCTTGGGCTGAACAGAAATCTGACCTGACGCCTACTCACAAGATAAAAATGTACAGAATCTGCAGAAAGAAAGCCTGATGGAGCATGGAGCGAGTGGGCACTCCAAAAGTCCTGGAGACACTAGTCTCAGTGGTGCCACTACGGATGCCCCGAATGGGGCCCTCCTCCCCCTGTCCTGGTGGCTCAGAGAGTCTCCCAGCAAGTAGTACAAAGGACAAACACCTTTACTTCCCAAAAGACATTGAGGATGTCCCCTCTAGGGCCCCATAATGAACAGAACTAACGGTCCAGCCAGCAGCCCCAGCAGCCGGTCACAGGAGCTGGGTGAGCATCAGCATGGTTTATCAACAAGCTGAAAAGAAGTGCGAGACCTTCTCCAACACTGTCTCGCCCGCTCTTCTATGGCCAAGGCGTTCATACTTCTCTGGGTGTCAGTCCATTGCTTGGTTACATTTTTTCTTAAAGTTTTTGGCTTTCCCATCTGTGGATAGAATCTATAGTTCTTGTATGTCAATGGATCTGCTTTTTCTCTGGCTGATTCTTTCTCTTAAGTTTAGGTTAACTATTGTAGTAATTATTTACAAGACTGACTCATTAAGCCCCAACTCCTTAAGCCCTGAGTGGCATCCAGGAAAGAAAGGGAGAAGGGGAAGTTAGTCAAAGCTGCAGCTGCTGGGAATGATAATCAAAGTGAAGATGTATTAAATATTTATTCAAGTCTCCGCTTTCATAAAGAAAAACATATGGGCAGCAAAAGATATAATTGATGACTGGGACCTCCTAAAAATAAAACATTTGTATGCATCAAAAGTAAAGAGAACTCAGAGTCGAGGGTGGGGGGGGGGGATTTGCCAATGACATATCAAAATACTAATCTCTAAACTCTATAGAAAATGTTAATATCTCAACAAGAAAAGATGAACCATCCAACTGAAGAA